CTTTGCTGTGTGTAGGACCGGACACATGCTGAGCAAAATGAAAAGAATCCATAATGTTCATAAAGTCTCTGGCAAATGGGTCGGAGTCATCATCAACATGTATGTTAAAGTCCCGAACTATAAGCACTCTTGACAGCTTCATAGTAGTGGATAAGAAGTCACTGAGCTCCAATACAAATAACCTGTTATATCCAGGTGGACGATACAACACAGCACAGTAGAAAGGATCCTTGTTACCAATTTTAGCTGAAACGAACAAAAATGCCCAATTTTCACGGAACGGCAGGAGAAACGGTCCTGGAAAGCCACGGCAAGCCCACCATCCCGACCAGACAACCGAGACTGGGTAATAAAAGTATAGCCATCCGGGCAGAGTTCAATAAGTGACGAGTAGTCTACATCCCGCTGCCAGGTCTCAGTCAGGAATAAAAAATCCTGTTTTTTAGATAATATAAAACCATTCAACAAGGATGATTTATTAGACAGAGATCGAGCGTTAAAAAGCGCCACATTCAGTGAGCTAGAAGCCTCATTATTTGCAGAGGCTCGAGTTAAGGGACGTAAATACACAGGGTTTGAGCCGTCACACTCGTAGAATCCACTCACCAAGGGAAGAAAAAGCCAGCCCGCAGAAGAGTCTGGATAAACCCTCCTAAGGTGGCAAGGTCTCAAAGAGCCGGGCCCAGCGTATCCAAACAAGGCCGTGGAAAACAAGTCCCCCTCCATGGAACTTTTCTAAACACAGGAGAAAACGCACGCTCGACGTCACTTACCAGCCAAACCACGCCACCAGTAAAGCCTAAGCTTTACCTGAAAACCTCCTCTTCTGCCTCTCCTTCTCTGTGGTCTAGAGGGACCACTGAAATCGCCTGACGAGGATCCAGCTAATGGAGGAGGGTGGAAAATGCCAGAGGACGACGAGACATCGTGTGGCATCATAGAGGATCGGATGGATAGCAAAGCCAGGCGATCATACACCAGGGCAGCAAATACATCATTAAAACTGAGTGAGAACAGTAGAGCAGAAAAAAATAACACAACAGCAGTAGAGCGCGACAAACTGCACCCGGCAGCGGCAGAGCCAAACACAGGCGCCATCATACCGGAAGTTTTAGTTTTAGTTCACCTGGTTGAGAAGATAACTGTAACACTTTTGTTTCATTGTCCCCCTCCGTACCAGATTCATTGTCACCCCTTGCCAATGTTTTGGGTCAGATTGGGTTCCCCAGACTTATTCTCAGTGTGGAGCTTACTGTGTGCCTTTATGCCAATAAATGCAGAACTACTGTAAGCTTTGAAACAGGATCTCGACTTTCCTGGTGCCAAATAAAAGTGAAGTAAATATTTGTTATTTCATGCAGAGCTGATACAGTCATGTGAAAAGTTAGAATTCTTCTTAAAGCGATTCGTCTTAAGTCATTCAATTCCTGTGCACTGTGTGCACACAGATTTTTATACATGATTTTGATCTTTTTTACATGTCTAATACACTTCACTGTCAGGTTGTATTTAGGTAATTTAAGAACCTGGTACGGACCAGATGATTTTTTTTTTAATTGTGCTTTGATACATCAAACCTTAGAACCGTATTATCTGTTTGACTTTATTAAGAGATAAAATAAAACACAAGGTTATTTCTCTAGAAAAGATGAATCAGAGAACATAAAGGCCTTGTATGGATACTAAAATATAATGTGCTCATTTCAGTGTGGAGCCTCAAGGAGTCCAGTGGATGAGACCAGGTCTAAGGAAATGTAAGTATTTTTGATTTATGAGCTGCATTCACACTATCTTGTACTGTTCTGCATTTTTTCTCACGGTTCCCTTTAGATTTCTGTGATCTGATGCTGGATCCAAACACAGCACACAGAAACCTCAAACTGTCTGATGACAACAAGGAGGTGACACATGTGGAAGAAGACCAGCTGTATCCTTATCATGATCTTAGGTTTGATCACTGGCCTCAGCTGCTGTGTACCAACAGTCTGAGTGGTTGCTGTTACTGGGAGGTCGAGTGGAGAGGAGAGGTTCATGTTGCAGTAAGTTTTGGAGGAATCAGACGGAAAGGAGAGGGTGATGATGTCAGGTTTGGAAGGAATTATCAATCCTGGAGTCTCAACTGCAGTGATGATAAGGGTTACTATGCAAGTCACAAATTTGATTTAAGAGCCATCCCTTGTCTCTCCTCACCTCTGTCTCACAAAGTAGCAGTGTATGTGGACTGCTCTACAGGAACTGTGTCCTTCTACAATGTCTCCTCTGATAAACTGATCCACCTGCACACCTTCAACACCACTTTCACTGAACCTGTATATGCTGGGTTTAGGGTGAAGCCTGACTCTAGTATCCACCTCTGTGCTGACTCAGAATAATGAACTTACTGTGCAGAGAAATATTCTCACATTGGTATTTCATACTTTTCCTCACTTAGTATATCAGGTATACTGTCTCGTACATATATTTGTTTGTTTTTCAGTCCAGAGATGTTGGATTAGACTGATCTTATTGTCTTTGGTGCCTTTTTTTAAGAGCAGATATCAGTTTTTACTTATATACTACAGTTTAATTACCCACAGGACTTTTAGTGCTGAGGAAAGAGGAACTGTATTTTTAAATCTGTTGCATTACTATCATCCATTACTAAATTTGTTACATTATACACATTTTAATCATGCTTAGACTGATGGATGAAATCTTTGGAACATATAATTTAGACATTTTAGACGTTGTTGGTTAGACTTTGTGATGATGAGAGCTGCAGGCTCTAAATATTTTGTGTTTAGGCGTCTTTAATTTTTTACATTGCATAACTATACATTTGTGTCTCTCTTGTTATGCAAATTAAGTAACATTTCACTACAATTAGTTCCTGGAGAAAAGCAATATCACCACTGTGTGACCAGTTTTCTCAACAACTGATCTGGATGGTTCTGGATCCATTTATTTGTCTGTGTTGATCCAAATGTAGCTTCTAGTACTGCTGATACAAGAAGAGCAGCTTATGGCTAACTGGACGCTGTGGAGACATCTCTCATCAGTTCATAATAAATAAAAACAGTCTGACTTATATATGACCTCCAGTCTGTGTTTCTTGACTGAACAGAAACAGTTTTACAATCTGAGATTTGGTTTTTATTCCGTGTTAAAACAGACTCATGAAATGTAACAGAAACGGAAAAGTGAAGACATAAGAATCAAGATGAAAACAGTTGGATTTTTTCTTCTTGACTTCTTGCATATTCTGTCAGTGTATGTTTACTTCTCCCGTGTATATATGTGTGTAGCATACACACCAA